TGTCACTCTCAGGTATGTTTGCAACCTTCGTTTAAGTCTTTTTTGTAAACCGGAGAGCCGGATTCGTTGGGCTCCCCTAATAACCAGCAACATGCCCGTCTTTTTTTGGCACCTCTAGCCCAGTCAGGGCCAAACAAACCTATCCTTTTTGGGACGTTATCCTTAAAGAGGGTGTTCCACATGTGTGTGGGGTTTTGAACTGAAATAGCTACCTTGGAGTTTATTCGGTGCAGTTCACAGCCCCGCCTTTCTCAAGACCTAAGTCCCTCTAGTTTCTGAGCCACGAAAAAAGCCAAAGATGCGCAGACTTTTTCGAGGAGATTACTTTAAAGTCACCAGGGCATCCAAGACGCAATAATGATCTCATTCAAATCCCTACCATTTCACTATCCATGTGGCGATCAAGGCCAAGCAAAATGTGATTGTCGAGTTGCTCGTATGTGGCGTTCGCAAGCACGATTTCCAGATAAAACGACGGTCAGTTGGCTCTCAATCAGTGCTGTGCAAGGTAGGATGAGCATGTTTACTAATCAGAGAAATTGTATTGTTTGGAGCAGCCGTTTCCACTTAAAAGCGTACCAATAGTTGTAAGTAAGCTTGTTTCATCATATATGATGCCTGCTTCAATATCTTCAAATAGTGGAACATTCTCTTCAATACGATGTAACCGGCGAGAAGGATGGGGGGAGGGGAGGGGGGCATTTTGCTCAGTAGATAGCCAGGGGGACGGGATTTCTGCTCAACGTGACCGGTATATAACCAGGGAAGGGGCTCAGGATAACCAAACATACGTTACATTATCTGTGGACGTCCACAACGCTCTTTTCAAGCTGATCACATTTGCAGCAACCGACTGTGCGGTCACGCAGTCTCAAGCAAAATAACTTAATGGAAAAATACGACCTACTGCATTCTTTCAAAAATCGTCTGCCTATAATTTCAGTGCGACTGTTTGTTAACCGTTTGAACGGTTTAGTTTCAAGTGACTATTTTTGGCGGAAAATCAATTAGTTAACGTTAGGCTGCACGCGAGAGTATGGAGAGCGGAATTACTTGATGGTGATTTGCGATGAATGCGACGAAATGGTGTCTTTTAGTGATGGACAATTTCTAAAGACGCATAATGACTAGACTTCCAAATGCAGCGGTGAATGTGCTCTGCTGAAGATAACAAAGCTGTTGAGCAAAAGTTCGGCATTGCATGCAGATGAATGCTCTTACATAGGTGAGTGATGAAGTTTAACGAAAAGCTCGTCCATGTCCCGACGGATTTACCCAAAAGTTGCTGAATGAGACTGCAAGTTTCGAAGTGTGGAACTTTTGTGAGATGCCCCAAACGAGTCGCAAAATTTGCATACTTCAGTGGATTCACAGCAGTTAGGTAGTCAATCCTTTTCGATGACGGAACATTCTGAGAAGGGGCTCACCAAAATAATGCTGAGGTACAAAACGGAGGAAATTGAGAATGTACTGGTCAACGCACGCCTTCTGCTGGTTTAGAAACATGCGGTTAATTCCAAAAGGGAACCACGGCCGGCCGGGTCAACAACGCACCCGTAAGTTTGACGTGCGTGACCTTCCCGAATCTTGAGAAAATGGTCGATGCAATTTATCCCTTGCCTGTTTTGCTACACGCCCAATTACTAAGTCGTTTTTACTTCGCCTCAATGCAAACGGCGGGCGCGCGCGCATGTGTGTGTGTGGATGTGTGTGTGTTCGTGTGTTTACGTGTGCGTGTGTGCTGTTTGGTTGGCTTCATTGCTCCGACGGCTCCGTTTTTCGCTAATTACGAAAAAGCTCTTAATAGCCATTAATTGCGTTTCCCCGATCTTTGTTCCTGGCAACATTAAACAACAGCCTCGGTTCTGGGGAATGGTTTTACGAGCCTCGTGCAGCATAATCATACAAAGCCTCACGCACGAGGTAATTCAAGAAGGATATCCCAGCGTGTGGTAAAATGATATACCTTTCAGAAGAAATTCTGCAAATCATTCTGACTGCTCAAACGATCTGAAAACATAGAAGTGACCTTTTAAAAGTGTGGTATGGCTTGCCTGCCAGGCATGAGTTTCGGTCCAGCGATCCGAGTGCGAGCCGAGTCCAGATGTGTCGTGTCTCGAAGTCACCTGTCACAAGGTGTGATTGCGAGGCCTGCTCCGGGTTCCATCATTTTCACGACGCATATGCCCGACCCCGAGCCCAAGTTGTTAGAGCCTGAATTTCATGCCGAGTCCGAGCTCTCAGTCTCAGAATCTTAAATACTAGTTCATCAGATTTAGGGTAGCACATAAGGCAAACTTATGTTTTTTTTGACTGCCAGGAATAGAAATGGTATGGGGTAAAAGATGACCCAAGCTAAGCCTACACATAGCAAACTTAATCATGCAAGGCACAACGAACCCAGAAACCTAGCCAACAACAGCAAAAAATAGAATAAGATAAATAGGACACTTTAAATTAGCCTGAACCAACCCCAACCAACCATAGTCTTGCCTGGGGTTTGCCGAGTTCGAATGTAAATGATTAGTGCCGCGCAGCCGTTTGCTAGTAAGCTTTGATTGATTTTAGCTACCAGTGTTTTTCAAGTTTTTGGTCAAGATTCAGCATTGGAAGCTTCATCTTAGGTAGTCAAAATTCAGAGTAGTCAGCCTTTGCCATAACCAAACGGACCCCAGACCGAAACCGACCCAAGTCAGGTCTCCCATGGCCTTACCAGCCATGCACAGCCCAGCTGCGCGAAAATGCCGATAGGAAGAGTAGGGATAATGCTATACTGTGGATTTAACTGATATTTGGACATCTGCAATCAACTTTGATCGCTAGTTGCATATATCATGGAAAAATTATGGAGGACACGTCTTCTTTTTTGGTAAATAGCTTTTGAATGAGCCCCTTTTAATTGACACGACCTGCCCGATCCTGAGGTAAATTGTATCAGACGGATGGAGAAAGTGGCATTGGTATTTCTTTCGCAGCGGGTAGACTGCATCGCAAGAAAGCTGGATGCGTGACCAATGCGAACTGCATCGCTCTGTTTTGCTATGTCGTAATTTATCATGGTTGTGACATGACAGATTTCTGTTTTTTCTTGATCAGCCAGTGTTTGCTTCACAACTGCTGCCATCTCGGCTTCAGTTGCCCGGGCGGGAATGATACACATCATTACTGTAAATGTGAACTTAGATGAAAAAGGCCAATGCATTCACGTTTGGCAATAATCGACAGTACATCAGTCACTGATACCGTTAACAGTAAATCAGTCAATCACATCACTGTCGGTACAATACAGCACTGATACAACATGCCCCAAACACAGCTGATACGACATGAACCGCCCGACATCTTGGAAGGAAGTTCGTGCCACCACGAAATACTTGGCTAGCAGACACGAAATATTTTGCGGCAGATGCGGCGTTGGACCAAAAAACATAGTCTGGCCCGAGTGCCAGCTTCATGATATTTTCTGACCGCATTTCCGGGCCCAAGTATGAATCAGACAGCTTCTAGACTCAAGTCCATGCATGGTGCATGCTGGGCTATATCATCGTTTCGGGGATTTTTTACGCTAGAACTTCAGGTTTGGACGCGGCCAAGCAATCATTGCTTGCTTATCAGTGGATCGTACTGCTAACCGTACCTTTGTCCGGCGTAACCGTGGAGAAAGCATCGAGTCAGCTGGAGATAGCAGGAGTAGGGTACCCCAATAGTTCCCCTTAGTCCCCAGTGCTTGTCAATATTTTTTGTTAGCATATTTTTTTCTTGTTTCCAGAGCGTGAGAACGATATTTGTATCCCCCTACCCCCTAATCGAAGGACACTTGGAATTGGAACCGTATAACTCAAGTAGAATATGTTGTATTTGTTATGAGTACCTTCCGATGTATGTGTGTAAAAAAGCCTAAACCTTACTGCAGTGAATGTGATAGTTAAATTACTGGCCCACGGGCATATATCACGCAATGGTTCCATCAATGACTCACGTTTTTTCAGGCATTCATCCATCACGGCGCCACTGAGCGCATTATTCAGTTTTATCTTCATGTTGTGGCACCGGGAAAGTATATTTGTCAGACATCTGCAAGCTCATTTCCCTAACCTTGAGCCCTACAAAAACATGCCTCGTAGACCGTAATTAGTATATCGGCACGCAACCCTGCTCGCTGAGCTCGTCGTCGAATGGTGCATTGATTTTCCCTACCTGATGCAACGGATAGGACGCCTCCTCCCCCTAGAACGCAATGCATGACTGTCGTAACCATAACAACGAGACCGGAACCTGCTGGGCAGCTGGGACAGGTGTGGCGTGGCGCGCGCAATATATTGAGCCCACCGCAGCCAGCCATACTGATCAGAACCTAGAGCGCGCGGCTGCGGCGCGGCGGCATTCGTGTTACGCGGACCGCCAGTGACCCGCTTTGAACCATAGGCCAGGCCTGACCTTGCCGCTGGCGTTTTTCCTGGGACCCAAGTGCGCGCCACATAAAGCTATCGTGCTACCGAACCCCCTTCGCGTTACGAACGGCACCAACGGGTAGGAGTGCAAAAGGATTGCCCTCGCCCCGTGTTGTCGCGTCGGGAATCACAACAATGGGTAGGAGTGCAAAAGGATTGGCTTCGCCCCGTAGTGTCGCGTCAGGGAGCCGCATGGGCCGTGAAGGTCGCTCTTCCGTGTCGCCCACCGCTGTGCCGGTGGGCGACACATTGAAACATGACCGCGAGCACCAGTGGAACATGACCGTGAGTCACTGCTGTGTCGGCGAAGCGGGCCCGCGCTGCTACCAGGCGCGGCCGGAAAAGGATGAGCACGAGCAGGGCTGTCTGCCGCCCGGCCAGTTCAGCATCGTCGGCGCTTCGATCGTTCTGAGTGGTCAGGCCTGCTGGCCACGCCGCCTGGTCTGGCTGGTGGTGGTGACCGTGCTGCTGGCCGCGCTGGTCGTGCAGCTCAGCAGCCAACTGGGGCGCCTGGCGCGCGGAGGCACCAACTGGAGGTTCTCACGGCAGATCCTGGACGGCGTGTCGCTGCCCGCCCTCACCGTGTGTCACTGCAACAAGGTCAAGAAGGAGGCGGTGGAGCGGATGAGTCAGCCCGGAGTGACGCTGCTGGACTGGCTTGGACCCGGAGACGCCGGCGTTTTCACTGCTGCGCTGGGATGAATTCAACCTGGATGAGTTCTTCACCGCCGCGAACTATAAATGGGAGGACATGGTGAGCGAGTGCACGATCGGTAAGGTCAACTGCACTGCGATGGGCACCATCGAATCGGTGCACACGCCTCTGCTGGGCGCGTGCGCCACACTTCGCACCAACGTGACCGTCCGTGACACCTTTATCTCGGGCCAGGTGCGTCCTGGTCTTCAGCGACAACGGCAGCTTCGGCCCGCAGGAACACGACGGCTGGACACTGTTCCTGCACGAGCCTGGCCTCGTCTTCACCGATTACACGATGTTCTACGGCATGACGGCGCCCGTCAGGCTGTTTGCCAACAGCGTCATCACGGTGAGGGTAATGACGAAGGTATTCAACCGTCTACCGGGCTTGAGCGGGTGCACCCAGCAGCCGATCGGGTCGGTACAGGTCTGTCTGGAGCGGTGCGTCAACAAGAAGGCTGGCATCGGGGAGCCCTCCTGCCGCATTCCGTGGATCCCCGCGTCCGCCGGTCGGCCGCCGTGCACCACGTACCAGCAGTTCGTCAACGCCTCCGGTCTGGACACGCTCGGCTCGTTCGACGAGTCGGCGATGGCCGCCGCCACCCGGGGCTGTCCCTGCCACCTCAAGTGCGACTGGCGGGGAGTACGCCATCGACACACCGTACCGTGTAGGCAGCGAGGAGACGCGGGATCTGCGGCAGGGCGGGAGCCGTCGGCGGGCCAGCGACATCCAGACGAAGCTCACCCTGCTCATGGACACCACGCTGCAGACGACGGAGGAAGTCGAGGTGTACCCGCTCGACCAGTTCCTCTCGGACGTGGGCGGCAGTTTGGGCCTCATGATCGGCGGCTCGCTGCTCACCATCGTCGAGCTCGTCGACTGTTTGGTCTGCTCCTGCTGTGGAGCTCGCAGGAGGGCGTAGGTAGGGCAGGAGGGTAGGCCTGGAGACAGCAGGAGGGCAGGCCTCCCAGCACCGCCTGATCGGTTGCACCTGTGGCACCCCCCACCACACCCCAGCGAAGAGAGCGGCGGTCTAGTCCAGGTGTTACTGGTGGAGAAATCCGGGCGGTTAGGTGAACAGTGTTAGTGGGGATGGTTTCATTGGCCTGGCGTTGCGATTGGCTTACAAAATACGGATGGCATGGTGCCTGATGACCATAGTGGATTGGGCTACATGCCCATGTGTATGTTTCAAGGATCATTGCTTCTCAATTTTGGCCATATTGCTTTACACCCCAGACTGGATTGGGAAAATGTGAAAATGATCTCTTCTCGGTGAATTTTTCACACACCTTTTGGTCAATACTGTCCGGATGGACAAATAACAAGTACAAGGTGCATTTGCCTACGCTGTGCATTTCCTTCTACGTGTTTCCATGATATGGTTCTCTGTAGGTCCTGCAGCAGCTCTGAAATTTTCGTCAAACAACTTCCCTTCAGTTTGAACGTGTGTTTATTGCCTTGATCATGACAATCGTGTGTATTGTTCTGATTTGTTCTGCTTGCCACTGATTCGTATGACAGCCAAGTCCAGTTTCCTGTTGGTTAACTGCGGGCGAGTGATCTCTTACTACAATGTGCTGCGCAGCTTTCACTGCACGCATGGCTGTGAAAGCTCCCTGCGAGTATAAGGTGCAAGCAAAAAGTCACCATCAACTAAGCATTGTACGAAAACTTGACAGGAACTCACTATTCATGTCCAGTGGAAACAAATGCTTCAATTACCTCGGACGAAGCCAAAGCAAAGCACACCGTCGCAACCCATTTTTCCGACACATTTTTTGGTGCGCTGCGTCGACTGGACTTCTAAATCAAAATAGATCAGAATTGCCACTCCAGTGAAATGTGAGTTTGCAACTCCATATCTGGTCTTGAGTCGGAGATACCTCCTTTCAAAGACCGCGCTCAACAAAACTTTTTTCTCAAAGAAGTGCGTAAAAGCAGTTCTCACAAAGTTCACTCCACTAGGCATTCGTTAACATATTTCTTGCTACTATTAATGAGCTGTTTGGGAAAGACGGTCACTACATTGAAAAGCATTCAACTTTTTGGTTTGCTGATTTATTTTTCGCGAGGATTGTGTGAGTAGAAGGCAAAAAAAAACACGGACTATTCAGCTCCGCTCTTTTTCCCCCTCTTGTCCGGCATGCTTTGCCAATAGGCAAATTAGGTTATTGTGTAGGGTAATTGCCGAGCCGATGAAAGATGTGATCTCCCTTAGATGATTTTTTAATTTCTTTATAAATTTATCCCGAATGGTTTGTATGGGTGACTTCGGATTCAGAGTACCTGCTAAGCATAGCTTGTTGCGTGTACCCCGAACCCACCACCCAAGCGTGCCGTCCAGTTCAACAGCTAATTTGCCCCCGCCCTTTCGCCGGACAGGAATGCGGAGGTTTTACGTGCCGCACAATGCTGCGACACGGCCACTTCGGGTCTGGGTTGAGCCTCGTTGGCCAGTTGCCAGCTGGCCTTTCCGTTTCAGTCGGGTCAACAATGCGCCCACTCTGGGACTCGTACCCCGTGCCGCTGGATTACGAGTCCAGCATCTTTCCCCGAGACCACGGAGGCGGCATGATGATCATAATGTCGACAGCCGCTACTTCCCATATGTCGCATTAGAGAATTCAAATTGAAAGGCTTCAAGAAACTGTAATTCGATAGGCGCCAAGCGCGTTTGATTACCACAGGTCTCCTTATGTCCTAACCTTAAGGTGACGGCAACGGACACAGATTATAGATCAGTTTTCTCACCTTATTGCCTTATTGCCTCCATTGCCTTTTTGCCCCATTATCTTAATGTCTTACTTTCGTGGCGCGTCACACGGGGCTTTACGTTTGTCGCATTATCACCAATACTTCATGCCCTTTCCAAATCACTCCATGCCCTTCCACGGCAACAGCATGGCCATTTTCTGATGTAATGCCGAAACATTGAAAATCCTGATCTCGAGCGCCACCCCAGGCCAAGACATCGGCGCGGCCCCATCGATCGGACAGCGAAACAAGACGAGTTTCCTTGGTCTCTGGACGTCACAACTCTAGATACCACGGCAAGCACCCGCTCGTAAGGGTGCAATAATCCATTGGGAGCATATCATGCATTTGAAGGAGACATAAGGGTTCGTTGATTTGCTCCGCACAGCAGCACGAGCAAAGCCCTGTAATAAAATAAAGCGAAAAGCCTATCGCTTGCAAATGTAATGTGCTAGTATTACCAGACCGTTCGCTACTAAAAGTTTAACAAACGTTGCCAAAGGATAACCAGTACCACCAGCGTTCGAATGGAAATTCCGTGACATTACCAATGACCTGGTCTAGCGCATGACTCACTGACATGACGTGACTCGGGGTCATGGGTAGGCGCCGTGACAAATACTAATTTGGCCGAAGCCGAATGCGATGTAGGTAGAGTGCCGGACAAACGGCTGGTGTTGTTACGCGGGGGATTTCCAGTGAGTTAGTTGAGATTCTCGACAAGATTCTTGATTTTTCTTCTTTTTCTCTTAGGCGGCATCTCCCATAATGGCCACCAGTATATTACGTGCGTCTCCCCAGTCTTTTAACGTAATGTCGCTTGTTTTGTTATGTCGCATTTTTCAACTTTCTTGTAATAATAGTCTTACTCCCCGGAGAAAAACCAGGCGAATAGATATATAGTTGGGTTGATATTTCGGCAACATGCCTTTATGGAAACAATAGCAGAAGTGAATCTGGGGGACAAGGCTACTTCTACTGTCTTGTCTATGCGAATGATGTTCCTCGCTAATGCACTGAACAATCAACTCCCTTGCTTTAACTTACCTCTTGGCGACATTCCTCCTGCTGGCCGGCCCGCTTAGCTAGGAGTGCTGGCTCCTCACTTCTCAGCAATATCATGGCCGCCCCAACGGATTCCTCATCGGCACAAAATGGCAATCACAAGATTCCCAAAGCCCAACTCGCTTAAAAGCAACAAGTGCCGTGATTTACTCAATGATTTAAATGAAGTTAATTTATGGCTTTAAAATTACATGCTCGAGCATGATGTTATGAAATGCACGATGGTTCGAATACGTCTACAAATACTAATCAGCGAGGTAATAGGGCGCCTGGTCAGATTACGACGTTTGTGAATATCTTAATTTAGTTGTTAGGTTACCCGTGCGCACGGGAATGGTGTGCTGCATTTGTGCTACACGTGCTGCCCTCTTTTTGCGTCTCGTGTGGATGCTGGCATTAGCGCTTCGCGACGCGCTCAGCCGCTCAGTTCACCTGGCATCGCTTATCATCTTAGCACGAAGGCCAGCCACTGCGGCCCGCAATAGTCTAGAGAAACCGACTCTACCCACTTATAATCAAACTAAAAAAAATAGGAAATCTCCTCGGGAGTAATACGTCTACTGACAATAATCATATTTATTTGAATTAATTATGCATGTCGTGGTTAGGGGCGGCCGTTGGCTTATTGTTCCGCTGTATGGATTATCAGGTAATTACCGTCGAGGCAATTTCCTTCCATAAACCGACTTACTGTGAGCGACTGCAAGCTGTGGCGAAAACACTGGCTTACCGACAATGCATGGGCTTTCGTCCAACTTGGACAACAAATGTCACTTTACCGGGATTACGCAACTAGCACTTAGGCATTCGCACTGTCTCATGCATGCTTGTCAGCGGCCATATTTAAAGCAGGCCTTGAGTGTGGTCGCCACAAGCGGTCTGCACAGGCTATGTGCAACAATCAGACCCCCTCCCCCTCCCTCCCATTATTAGTGGAACCGTACAGCCATATACCACGCATACCTCGGAACTTGTCCCCAATAGATAGAAGCCACCTGGTGCAAGGCTCACCGCGGCATCACCACGATATCCCCACTCTTTCGTCACTGAACTATGCCGACATCACCTGTCGGCCAGCCGGCCTTCGTTATCAGCTCACAGCACTCCATCGCTACCCGCGACGAACCATTGCCTGTATGACGCGTAGGCCTACTTCCGTCGCTACCCGCGAAGAGTCATTGAATCAAGAATAAAAAATTAAAAAATCAAGAAAAAGGAATCATTGAATCAAGAAAAAATTGACACATTTAGCCCATCTTTTTCAACACACCGTGTCGATAACACTTGGGAAAAATTAACGGTCGCCGCCAAGCTATGCGCAATATATGAACTATGTAAGATAGCGGTATTGACATCGAGCATGGACCTGCCTACGTCGCGTCCTGCCTCATGGAACAGCATTCAGGCCGCACTTTATTCATTGATCTGCTACTTTTCCTACAGACTGTTCATTGGCAGGCATATAACAGTAACAGGCAGGGGCCAGCACGCCATTTCAGAACACACTTGTGGGACATCTTCGCAGATTAGGTATGCTGATTGCTGTGGTACGATGTAAGCACGAAAGCAGTGCACGACATCTAACGGATCAGAAATAATGTGATATTACGCAAGCTCAACATTCCTACCGAGCTTCCTTTCCTTTAAGGTACAGTTATTCAACACACGTTTTAAAACATATGAGGGCCGGGAATTTCAAAGAATCGCTGAAGATTCGACAACTCCTCCGCCGGGCTTACATTTTGGAGAGGTGAAGGCACCGAGCGCCCGCCCGTCGGCGCGCCAGGCCGATACGGTCTTTCAACACCTTGTCTGTTTCAATGGCCCTCCGACAGCCTACTTTGACGGTGTTATGACTGTACTCCACTCTGTTTTTGTTTTTGCCTCTGACAGGGTTGACGTTTTGAAGGGCCGCTCCCCATTGATCGTCCTGGCGCGAATGTCCGGAACAAAAACCGTGCTCGCACTTAGGAAAAAACGGCAAGCGGCCCGCGGCGGATAAATACGCAGCGCGCCAATCTGAATCTAACCTTTTCAGTCCCACACCCGGATAACAAAAATATGCACATCGCGAGAATGACCTTCTTGCACATTGAATAA